TATCAAGCTTGGACCTTGTTTTTCTTCATCATTTTATCCTTCATCATTTTCTTCTTCATGTTCCATTCTATCCTTTTCTTCTTCATGTGCCATTTCTGGTTTCAATCGTTTTCTTCTTCATCTTCCATTCAGGCTTTCATTTTCTCTATTTATTCTCCATTCATCCCATTCTCGTTTATTCTCCATTCTAAGCTTCAAACATTTTAGGAATTAGGGTTTGTAAGAATGGGTGAAAGCAAAACATCATCAATTGGAAACTTAAGTGGATTGAGTTTACCCATATGTGGATGTGATCAAGCAATGAAGATGCGGGTCACAAACACAATAAAAAAATCGAATACAAAATTTTGGAAATGCCGTAATGCTAGGGTAAGAAATTTTTAATTTTTTTTCTTCATTTTTCTCTAAGTTAAACTCATCCATATTTTGTATGTAATTTGTAGAGTGTGGAAAATTGTAACCTATTTATCTGAGATGATGAACTTGGTTAGGTTCATGGTAAGAATGGAAAACAAAATATTCCAACAAATTGCAATAATTGTGAAATGATAATGGCTTATTTGAGGGAACTTGGGATGAATATTGGTAAGGAATTTGGTAAGGAATATGGGGTAAAATTCAGTTCAAAGAAGCATGAAAAGACAAATAAGAAGTTTCAAATTGAGAAGAACAAAAGTCAATGATTAATGGTTGCACTTTTGATGTCTTGGACTTTATTTTCCATTGTCTACAAGTTCATGTAATATATAGTTTATACATTGTGGTCTAATTATGTATTTTCTTATTCTATTTCAATATGTGATGTATCAAATGACATTGTATCAATTGCTAGTTTATTAATGAAATATTTAGTATTGGTTATTTCCAAAAGTGATTGCATAGATAATAAGAAGCACATGAAGTGCATAAGTCATTACAAAATGACACATAAAAGTGCATCAGTCATCACATACAAAATGGCACATAAAAGTGCATCACACATTACAAAATGAAAACATAAAACATAATTCATAACTACTTAGAAGGATTATTTGAATTGTTGCTCCAAGATTTCATGGATATGAAACACACACACTAAGCTTTGAATCGGGTATCGTTGTAGTATCTTCTTGTGTCAATGTACCTTCATCATACTCAGTCAAAGTGATTAGTTTGTCAGAGTTTGAGCCAACACTTATAATTGGTTTTTAAAACCATTCGAGCTCCAATCTTTCACCAGACCTTTTTCTTAGCTTCACAACAGGTTGTTGAACCCTCTTAGGATATTTTTTCACATCTATAATAGATTTGTCCTTCTTTGGTTTTTCTCCACCTATGTCCTTTTTAGACTATGACTTGGTTGTTGAACCTTCTTAGGAGGCCTCTACACATCTTTCACAACTTTGTCCTTCTTTTGGGTCCTTTGCACCTTCTTAGGTTTTTTTCAATATTACTTTTTTTGTCTTCAACTTGACTTGCTTCATCTTGACTTGCTTAGCCATCCACTTTGATTTTGCAGATCTATTGTTTAAAACCCAACTACATGTGTGGGTACCCATTAATATATTTATACCATGTGTGTTTATGGCTCACCTTAGAACATAGAACTAAAAAATCACATTTCGCCTTGTATCCTACCCTTACCCTATAACTATCATTTTTCACAATGGTAATTTTTCTAAAATTTTTCACTGACCACTCATAAATTGCATCTCTAAAATTCGCTAGAGAATTAAATCCATACCCCACTTAAATTGGTAGTCTTTATTAAGTTTCTATTTCCTAAACTTTTCAAACTTAGGCCTTTTACCCTTATCATCATTAAATTCATCTGGGTCTTAGCTACCCAATTCACCACTAACATATTCATCATCTTCAATTTTCTCTTATGAACTACAAATTAGTCTATTAGGAGCACTTGGGGGTGGATTATCTTTAAATACACATGTAAGACCAGTAGTTCTCTCATCCTCAATATCATCAAAGCATTCAACACCTTCATTCTCACTTCCTTCCATAACTCTCATCTCATTAATGAACTAAGGTTCCTTTACTTTCAGTTTTATATCAGTTACTTGATGTTCCAGATAAATATGGCCATCAAGTTTACTTACACTAGTATATGCAGCAAAAGCATATGCATCGTCATCCTTACTTAACTGAAATTTTTTTTTATCTATATCAACAATTTCAATCCAATCCCTATAATTTCCTTCTTTATAACGCCAACCCTTCACCAAGTTATCAATTTTAAACATTGTCCATTTCTCAATATTTTGCCCAGAAACTATGGTTTCAACCCCACCTATGTAGAATAATTTGTTGTCGTCCCTTACAAGTTTTCCTCCATGGTGAAAAACTATGGTTCCAAAACCTAACCGGAGCCATTGGAAAATGACAATTTCAAACATTCTGCTTCAGTAAAAGCTTTGATTGAAGCTCCAATGTTGTATTCCTTCTTCGTGACTCATCTTTGTTTTTCGTCTTCCTTCCTTAAGCGTGTTTCATTCTTCGTGTTCGTCTTCGTCTTTCTTCCTTCTGCCTTTTTTGTTCTTTGTCTTTCGTTTATATTATAAGGGGGAATCAAGAAACGATGGTAGATGAATACATGGAATGAGGATAAACTTTGCAAACCGGCCTAAATTTAATTTTGACATATCATCTAATAAAATAAAGAAGAAAAAAACTACTTAGACAACATAACTGAAGATTATGTGTCCGTGTTGGCAACTAAGGGGCAAAACAATATAATCTTCACATTACAAAGAAGAATCAATTTTTTTACAGAAATAAATCAAAACACACTCATATTGCATGGATAAAACTATATCTAACATAAAAATTATAACTTGGTCCCTATTTTTCAAATTTTAAATTTGACCTCTTAAATTTTACAAATGATTAAAATGACTAAAAAAACTTAACAATTAATAAGTTTAATATTCGTATAAAAAATAAAATTTAAGTGAATCATTTAAATTGTTTAGAATTTTAAAATCTGAAAAATTTCTATTAACTTATTTAAATGCACTTAAACAAATAAGTTAACAAATTTTCTTTTAATAATTGTTTAGTTGAAAGATGTAATTGTTTGATGTTGTTGGATGATATTGAGAGAAGTTTTTCTTTTTTAAGGTATAAATTGGATACTATATGCATGCAAATACAAAGATTAATTCTTATGTTGGAAAAGATTATAATAATCAGTAAAACGTTTAATTTTCATAAAAGTTTAACGCTATTCTATGTTTAAAATTGAATTCGATTTTAAAATCTGATCAAACGAGATGGGAGAATATCCTAGCAACCAAATGTTTTTTTTTTAGTATAGTGAGAAAAGTTTTTATATAGTGAGTAATGCATTAAGCATTTATTAACTTTTAGTTGGGTCATGTAGATAGATATGTTTCTTTTTTGTTTCCAAAATGTAGTATCAGTTGGGATATTACATCATGTGATAGTATTCCTTTTCAACCTAGCTTTGTCTTAAATTGAAGATTTTCAACCTGTCTTTGTCGTTTAAGTTACTTACATCATGTTATATGAATTTTCTTTTTGGTGATGGCTTGTTTAATAATCTCAGAGATTAAAGTGTTTCATCACTCTACAAATCAAAGATAATTAAAGCAAATTTTTTGCTCAGTTAAGTAACATAGTTTTCACTTTTTCTTTCTTTCTTCTCTCTCACGTGCTCTAACAGTTAGCCTTCAGCTTTGTTACAGTTTTTAAATCATTAGTTTATCATCAATGATTTCATTCAAATTATCAATAGTAATATATACATCCTCCGATCCGATGAATGTTGCAACTTTTTTATTTTATTTTTTATATTTGACAATAATGTATTTGTATTTAGTTCATACTAGTATATAAATTAGATATATTAATGATTAAATAAATTTTAAAAAGGATTTAATTATTATGCAGTGTAAAAATATTTTACAATATCATTTAATAATAATATGTTATTCTATTATATCATATAATTAATTTAAAATTTTTAATAAAATTTGATAGAATGTATGATCGTCATTATATTGTATAAAAAAAATTTACAGTACATCTTCCTTTTTTCTTAAAAAATATAAAGTCAAATTTATGACTAGTGTTATATTTACCAATACTATTACTAAAAATACAGTATTTGTTGACATTACTGTTATTTTACGTATATTAAAAAGAATAAATAAATAAAAGAGAAAAAAATATTTTTACTAAAGTATTTATTATTCAATATTAGAAATGGTGAAAATAGTAATAATTAAAGTGTAAATTATTTATTTTTAATATTTTTTATTCCGAATTGGTGATTTGTGAGAAGTAATATTTAAGATTTTAGAAATTAATACTAATACATAATTTTTTTAATATATAAATGATTTATTTATTGAATATGTAAAAGTCTAATGATATTATTTATTTATTTTTATATTAATAAATAAAAATGGTTAAATTTTTTATAAATTAATTATACAATTTTTTAAATATATAAATTAATAAATAAATGTAAATGTAAATGATTAGTTTATGATTCACTCTCTAATGATATTATTTATTTATTTATATATTAATAAAATAAATTATTGATATTTATAAATTAATAATATAGATTTTTTTTAATACCTTTAATACTAAAAATTATAAAAATAGAACAACAAATTGCCCCACTATTTTTTTTATAATGAAAAAATTGATAGTGAAAAGGAAAAGAAAATAAACCTAATAGTATTAGTACAATAATGATTATAATATCCCCTTCATTCCAAAGTTGAAACACTTGACACAAGCTGTGTAGCATTAATATAATATAATCATTTCAAACACAGTCCATTCCTTTTTTCATGGATCTCCCAATATTTCTTCTCTCATCCATTCATTCACTCACAAGTCACAAACCATGATTGATTAATACATATAAAATCCATAAACTCAACACATTCATAATCCCACTAATTCCTCTCCCCTAAAACCTCCAAAATCCATCTCTCTCACATACACCACAAATCCACAACACAACAACAATGCTAGATCCAGCTAATGATTTGGTTCCACCACCATCTTCACCCTCCATCTCTTCCATTTCTTCCTCTGATCTTGACACTGAGGTATCAATTTTCATTATCCATTAATCAACATCATCAAACTCAAATTTCCTAATACTTTCTCTTTTTCAATAACCCAATATTCTAAAAATCTAAATTTTCACTCTTTTTACACCATACACTCAAATTTCTATAAAAAAAAAACTATTTTTTCAATCAATAAACTTGGTCACTTTTTCAACAACCCAAAATTTGAAGAATCTAAATTTTCAATCTTTTATGATTAATTAGTTTAAATTTTTAATCTTTTTCATTTGGGTATGTGAATTTTTCAGTCCACAGGATCATTTTTTCATGATAGAAGCACAACATTAGGGACACTAATGGGAGTGAGTTTTCCGGCGATTGCATTTAGAGTTCCATCACAGCACCGGCAATCATATTCTGACGCCGGAGTCTGCGCCAGTGGATCCATTAGGAATGCGTCTAACAAAAAGAAGAAAAGGACCGCCGCCGCATCGGTGGCGGCGGAGAGGCGGCGAAAGTGGTGGCAGCTGTGTAGGGACAGTGATGCAAGACCGGCTTCGCTGGGAGATTTTTTGGAGGTGGAGCGGCGGTTTGGCGACGGCGCATTTTACGAAACGGCGGCGGAGCTGGAGGGAATGGTGGCTGAGGCTGACCACCAGCAGAGGAATGGCGGGAGAGTTCTTTTTGCTGACGGGAGGGTTCTTCCACCGGCGGAAGATGTTGGCAGCAGAGAATCGCCGGCGGAGAGTCTCTGTAATAGGTTTCCAGTGTCGCTCGCCGGAATATGCAGCGGCGGTGGTGGATAGGTGTTTGTTAGATATTGAAATTTTAGTTTTTATATTTTTTTTTCAAAATTAAAAAATTTGTGGATTTATTTATTTAATATTTTTTTGTTGATTTTTGGTGTTTGTTTGATTGTTACTTAATTGGTAAATTAAGATTCTTTTTGTCTGTGGTTTATGGGCAAAAAAGAAAGCTTTGGCTTTTACCTTTTGTTACCTTTTTGTTTTTTCTTTTTATTCTTTTGATGTAACCATGTAAATGGTAGTAGTCCACTTTTATGATTAAAATGATTAATGAAATGAGCATAAGTATATATTTTGTTTCTTTTTTCATGTCAAAGGGATCATTTAAAAAAATATTTCATTTCAATTATTTTTACACTTCACCCTATTAAATGTTGTTATAGTCAATTCTCATATGATTTGTATTTACATAATTATTAGTCTATCTCTTCACAAAAATGACAATGATAGTCTTGATGGAAAATAATAGAGACCACCAATCCATGGCCCAAAATAATGAACCAAGCTCAAAATTGTCTTCTTGCATTTTTTGGATATCATTTGTCTTCAATCTTCTAATTAATTTTTAGCATTTTTTGGATTGCTGACTTTTGATTAAGTATATCTAAAACTAGAGTTAAAATATACTAGTTTAGAGTTGAAATTTTGTGCAATTTTATTGTTTTAGTCGTGGATAATTTTATATATACATATTTTTAAGAGTTTGAATACAGACAATATTAATCTCTCTTTTTAGTGATATTAAAAATATATTTATAAGTATATGACTTCTCTGAATTCAAAGATAACACTAAATCTTCATTGAAGTATATATAGAGAAAGAAAATGAAAGAATTTGAGAGAGAGAGAGAGAGAGTTTTGTACCTAATTTTTATTTTTGAATATCAAAACTTAAAATCTATTACAAGTGTAATTAACTTTGGGTTTATACACATCTATCCAAATTCAAATGTAAATAAAATGCAAATTCAAATGACATGAAACTAAAACTCAAATGCAACTTGAATTTGAATTACATTTCAACACCATCCTTTAATTCATATTCAAGATTAAAACTCAAAAACACCAATTTCATCCCTCAAATTGATGACGTGTTCAGTTTTGACTGTTTTGATTAGGGCTGGAAATGAGTCGAGTCGAGTCGAACTCACCTCAGCTCGGCTCGACTCGTTAAGAATTTTTTGAATTCGAGTTCGAGTTCGAGTTCGACACGGACTTTTTTTAAGCTCAAACTCGACTCGTTATAAGTTCACGAACAGTTCGGTTCGACTCGTTAGGTTCATCTCATTAGGTTCATCTCACGTGGTTCACGAACTTAAAAACTATTTTTTTAAATATATATATTTTTTAGTATGTTTGACATTTTAAATAAATATATATTTTTTAAATAAAATATTAAAATAAAATAAAAGTTATCATATTGAAATTTAACTTTATCTTCGAAATCTACTAATTCAAAATCTACACAACTTTAAAGAGATACATTTGAGAGTCTAATTCAAAAACTACTAAATTTAAGATTAAATTTGTCTAAGATTTAAAGTAAATATTTAAACCTAATCTTAAAGACAGTATAATTCTTTTCATATGTAATCGAGTTGACTCATGAACCTAACGAGTCGAACTATGTATAGTTCAAGTTCAGCTCATTTAGTTAACGAACTTAATTTTTCGCTCATACTCAACTCATTTGGTTCATGAACCTAGTTCAACGATTTAATTGTCGAGTCGAATTCCGAACTATCTTCGAGTTGGTTTGGTTCATTGCCAGCCCTAGTTTTGATCAATACATCTGCAAGTTGCTTCTGAGTGTATAATGAACAACCTCAAACACTCAATTCTGAACTTGATTGCGCAGAAAATAATACTTTGTAACAATGTGCTTGCTTCTTCCATGTAACACTGGATTCTTGGCAAAACTTATGGGTGACTTGTTATTTATCATCAACCTGACTAGTTTGCTCACCTTGAACTTCAGTTCCTGCAGCAAATTCATCAGACAAACAGTTTCACATGCTGATAACACACTATCTATGTATTCTGCTTCACAAGTTGAGAGTACAACCAATGGTTGCTTCTTGGAGCACCATGAAATGAGAGCTTCTATATACATAAACATGTATCCTATAGTGCTTCTTCTGCCCATTATGCCACCACACCAGTCAGAGTCTGAGTAGCATATCAGCTTAGCATCATCTAACACTCCAGATGGAAACCAAATTCCATACTTTAGAGTCCCTTTTACATACCTCAATATCATAATTGTAGCTTGGTAATATGGCCACTTTACCTTACTCATAAACCTACTTACCATTCCAACCATATAACATATGTCAAGTCTGGTGTTACATATATACCTCAGAGAGCCAACTAGTTGCTTAAAGATTGTAGCATCTACATCATCACCATCACCATCAGAATCCATCTTATGGTTTGTCTCAGTTAGCGTGACTGTTGACTAACAATTCACCAGCTCAAATCTCTTCAGCAATTCAAGTTCATACTTCAGTTGGTGCACAATGATTCCCTTTTCATAGTGTAAAATCTCTATCTCTAAAAAATACACCATGTTTCCAAGGTCAATCATATCAAATGCTTTCATCAGCACCTTTTTGAACTTGTTTATCTCGGAAGTACAATCCTCTGTCAGAAGAATGTCATCTACATAAAGACACGCAAGAATCACATTGCCATCAGAAGTATGTTGCATATGCACATCAGACTCCATTTCACATTTTTTGAATCCCAAATGCTTGAAAAGTGAATAAATTTCTAAATTTCAAGCCCTTATAACTTGTTTTAGCCTGTACAAGGCTTTATGTAGCTTGTACAACATCCCTTCTTTATTCTCTATCATAAATCCAGAAGGTTGTAACACATAAGCTTCTTCTTGCAATGGAACATTTAGAAAAGCTGACTTTACATCTAAATATATCTGAGGCCAATTAATATTTCCAACTATAACAATAATTAATTTTACGGTTTCATGTCTAGCTACAGGTGCACACACTTCAAAGTAATTTAAACCAAAATTTTGTAGGAATCCTCTAGCTACTAACCTTACTTTATGCTTGTCAACTGAACCAATTGGCTTCAACTTTATCTTGAAAACCCATATCACACTAATGACTTTCTTATTCTGAGGTAGAACAATAAACTCTCATGTCTTATTTATTTTAATGACCTCAAGTTCTTCCTTCACGGCGTTCACCCACACCTTTTTATTGACGACCTTACTAACGCTGACAGGTTCAGATCCACCATCACGACACTCTGTATGAGTTCCCCTTCAGAGTCAATCTTAATATCATGCAACAACTCAAAGTCTGCAAGTCTCCTTTGTATTCGTTTAATTCTCGATAGCCTCTTAAACTGCGTAAGTTCACCTTCAGAGGAAGAACCACCTTTAAAAGCTTCTCCTTTAGAATCTCCACCTTCAGAGGTTGGATCACCTTCAGAGTCAGGTCCACCATTAGAGTCAAAGTCACCTTCAGAGCCAAACTCACCTTCGGAGTCAGAGTCATCTTCAGAGTCAGTCTCACCTTTAGAGTCAGAGTCATCTTCAAATCCAGACTCACCTTCGGTGTCAGAGTCATCTTCAGAGCCAAAAGCACCTTCAGAGTCAGACTCAACTTCAGAGGAAAAATCTTCTTCAGACGTAGAATCTCTTTTAGAGGAAGAATCAGACTCTAGTGTTGACACTGCACTAGAGTTTGATTGGGACTTGATCCAATCTCATGTTTCTAATTCTTTCACTATGACATCTCAGTTGACTTTAACTTTATCGGTGATTAGGAAATAGAGCTTATAAGCACCTTTACATTGGTAACCTATAAGCAGCATAAATCTGCTTCTGTCATCCAATTCCCTTATAGTAACACCTGATATATGTTTGTAACATACAGAATAAAACACCTTGAAATGGCTTACATTTTACTTTCATCCAGTCCACTTCTAAATAGGTACTAACTCCTTTAACTTTTTTGTTGGACATCTGTTTAGCACATATGTCGACGTGACAATTACTTCACCCCACAACGTGTGAGGTAGATCCTTCTCCTTCAGCATGCTCCTTGTCATGTCAAGCAGAGTTATATTTCTCCTTTCAGCAAGGCCATTATGTTTTAGAGTATATGTAGCAGTTATATCATGCTTAATACCATGTTCCCTATAAAAATTCTTAAACTATGTTAAATTGAACTCACCTCCATGCTCAGTTCTAAGGATCTTCAACCTTTGTCCACTTTGATTTTTTAGCCTTCAGTTTAAACTTCTTGAACTCAAAAAACACCTCATGTTTGAAATTTATGAGTGTTACCCATGCCATTCTTGTGAACTCGTCCATAAATTACATAAAGTACTTATTTCCTGCAAGTGAAGGTACCTCAAATGGCCCACATACATCAAAAGGCACCACACCCAAAGCATGAGTTGCTCTTGGAAGCATTTCTACTGAGAATGGAAATCTTGATTTCTTTTCTCTCATGCAGATATCACATGACTTCTTTGGTTCCACGATCTTTGGAATTCTATATACCAGATTCTTTGAACTCAGATGCCCTAAGCTTTTGAAATACAAAGGTCCCAATCTCTTGTACCACAACTCACTTTCTTCTTCAACACTTCTAGCACTAAGGCATTGAGTGTCTGTTGTTGAAACATTCACATTGAATGTTCTATTTCTTCCCAGTTCAGATTTCATAATCAACTTCTGATTACAGTCATACAACTTCAAAAGATTATCCTTCATGGTTACTGAAAAACCTTTTCAAGCAGCTAACCTACACTTATCAGATTGATATTCATGCCAAGAACGTATCGCACATCCTTAATCAATACAGTTTTTCCATTGTTCAAATTCACTATAACATTTATCATTCCTTTAGCATTTAGATACTCATCATCATCACATCTGATCTTGGTCTTTTCACCAGAGTCGAAATCGACTAGTCATTGTGTAACAACCCAATTTTCAATAGTTGATTATTTGTACTAATTAA